ATGGTTAGACACATTTTTATATAAATAGAAATGATCTTGTAGATCGAGTATTTGCTGATCTACTGATATGAAGAAATGCTGTTGGAGACATGTTCCTAATGAGACATTATGCAATTTTAAAAGGTATGAGGATTTTTTGGTTATAGCTATGCATTGCAACAAAATATAAATATCTTTTAGAAAGCTAATAGGTAACTTTCGTTCAGGAAAAGGCAAACAGCATAAATTCAGTGGGGTTCAGGTTAATGTTGTCAAATTATTTGCATATATTGCATAAGTATAACTGACAACCGTTTTATTCTATCCAGAATATCGATTATTGGAACAAATGAAACTGGATTACAGAATTGATGTTAGGAGATAGTATAGATAGTAATTTAGACAAATAAAAAATTGATGTGGTTCGCAGACATTAGTATAGAAACGCCATTTTGTTTTGTAAAGCAAATATAAATAGGCAATAATTAATAATAATTTATTTAGTTGCTCATATTGGGCTTATGACTTTTAATATGTGTATATATGATATATATTGGAGAATTTTTATTTGATTTTTGTGTAATTTCAGATGAATAAATTATATGGACACCATTGCTTTCTATATTTTATATGTTGAAGATCAGCAGACCATACATGCCTTTTATAATAATGCCATTTTAAAAGTGAATGACAATTAATATAGTTTTCTGATAGGCATGCATCATTTCATTTATATGCTTCTTACTTGGCAATTTCAAGAGTACATGTTTTATTATCTGCACAAGTCAGATACCATGATTTGTTAGCTTTTATAGAATTGAAACAAGCTAATCATATATGCCCATTATAATAACGCCATTTTAAGGATAAATGACAATTGATATATTTTTAAAATAACATTCTCCATTTCAGCTATATGCTATGAGCTTAACATCTTCAATAATAATATACGGTTTTTTTCTATATAAGCCCAACATCATAGTTTGTTATTTTTTATGGAATTGAGACAAGCTATCCATGTATGTCTATTTTGACAACGCTACAGCCCTATAAATAATCTATATAAGGAAAGTATACAGAAATAATACATTTATAAAACATATAATATACGTAGAAAAATAGTATAATACATTCGTAAATACTAAATACTGAAAATTGACTTTTTCTGTATACAGAAAAATACAGATTTATACATCTAATCAGTATATTATATACATAATTTTACATAGATTTTATATGTCTAATTAGTATATTGTATACGTTATTTTTGGTTAGTATTTCTATATACTAGATACTGAAAATTAACTTTTTCCATATGCAGAAAAACACAGAATTTATACGTCTAATTAATATATTATATACGTTATTTTTGATTGGATTTTATATGTCTAATCAGTATATTGTATAATTTATTTTTGATTGGATTATACATTTAATCAGTATTTTGTATATGTTAATTTTAGTTGGATTTTTTATGTCTATTCAGTATATTGTATACGTTATTTTTAGTTGGATTTTATATGTTTAATCATAATATTAAATATGTTATTTTTGATCAGATTTATATGTAATTTTAGTTGAAATTTTATATATTTATTAAATAAATATAATTTTTGAAATTAATTAATAAATTTTTTATTAAAATAAAAATAAAATAAAAATAAATTTTCATTTATTCTATATATGAATTAATCAATTATAATATTAAATAAGAGATTTACAATTTAAAATTAAAATTTAAAGATAAAATAAATATTTATCCAAATCTATGCAATAAATTTTCATATTTCTTGATTTTCCTAAATTATTATTATATATATATTATTTCATGATGTAATATTAAAAATAAATATAAAAATTATTTTTTTTGAAATATTGGTAATGCTAGCTTTGATAGTGACAGCTTCAGTAGAGGCAACTTTATTGGTGGCAACTTTGACAATAGCAGCCTTAACAGTTTTGGTGGTAGCTTTAGTAGTGATGGTAGTGGCAACTTTGACAGAGGTAACTTTGATGTTAACAATATTATTAGTGGTTATGGTAGTATCAACAACATTGGTGATAATGACAGTGATAGTAACATTGGTGATGATAGTATCATCTTCTATAATAATTATAAAATAAATAAAGAAAAATAAAAATAAATCTATATATTTTGTTTTTTATTATTTTTTTAAAAAAACAATAAAATTACTTAAACTTTTATCATATTCTAAATAGAAAGGTGTTAATGATGGTGATAGTGAAATAAGAGGAGGAGAAGGAGAAATGTTATCTAAAAATATATAATAAAAAAAATAATAAAGATCAATTAATTAATAAATTCATGAAAGTTAGTTATATAATTCATACTATTTTTTTTCTATTCATTTTTTTGAGGCAAAAAATTGGTTATTATTATTATTATTATCATCGTAATTTTCTTTATTTTCTTTATGATTATTATAATCGCAATGACGTTGTAAGTATTTTTTAATACTTTCTTTTATTAACCAACTTCCCATTCCAACTTGAATTATCAGATTTCTTTTTTTGAACTATTGTTATAATATAATAATTAATATTATCCTAACTGCTAAATAACAAAATACTTTATATATCTTTTCTATCACCTTTTATTGAAAAATTATGTCTTAGTTTTTGTAGCTAATTTTGAAATCAACTTTCAAAGATAACATACAAAGACGAACCTCTGACTTAAAAAAATAAAAAAAATAAAAAAATAAAAATAAATATTATAAATAATATTATATTTATAATTTATTTATTCTTACCAAAATGTTTTGATACATCATTTTGTCTATTTGAAAAACTTTCCGAATTTTTTTAGCAGAAATATATTGTTCTATTAGTTTTCAATAGAAGTTAGTAGTGTTGTTATTGGTATTAACATTGACATTGATATTAGTATTAGTTATTGGCATTGTTATTAATATTGCTTTTACTTTTCGCAAAGTTTTAATTTCCTATAAATTTTTTATATTTATTATTTGAACTATTTGAACATAGTAAAGAACAATTATTATCAAAAATTACCAATAACATTTGTTACATAATTACTTCTATTATGTGAAAAAAAATTGGTAGAAAAAATTTAAAAAGAATAATTTTGTTAAAAATTAAGGAAAAAAAATTAAATAAATAAAAAATCAACAAAATCTTGTGATAAAAAAATCTCATGATATTATTAAAAATAAATATAATTAATAATAATATGATAATCTACATCTAGATTTGAAAAAATCACATGACATGACATTGAAAAAAATTTATTACATGAAAAATTAACATTATAATTTATTAATTTATTTAATTTAATTAACTTTTTATAGCAATAAATTTTTTTATATATAAGTAAATATAATACAGTAATTTAGTAATTAATATAATTATATAAAAATAAAAATAAATTAGAAATAATAAAATTATAATAAAAATATATGAGATAATTTAATGTCTTAATTGTTTCTAAGAACGCCTGCATTCTTGATATTTTAAATGATGTCTATCATATCTTTTTCTTAAATAAGCTCTTCGTATTGAGTCTAAATATAAATATATAAAATAAATATGTATTTTAATAAACAAAGAATTTAAGATGTGTTATAACCTCTCAGAAGCCAGAATTCACTTCTTATTAATTCATAAAATTAAATGTCATATCTATTTGAAGATGTGACATTTCTTATTCTTCTCGCTCCTCTTGTATCTCTATTTATGATTCTTTTAATATTGTTATATCCTCTTATTAATGAATGCCATTTATTTTGGCATTATTTTACTAATATTTGGTTATAATTTATTTTATTAATATGAATTGTAATTCTTTTCCATAAACCAGCATGATCAGAAATTCTTGCATATTCAAAATCATTTTGATATTGAATTTTTAATTTAATTAAGTTTTTGCAAGTTTGTAAATTCCAAAGACAAGTTATTTTTTGTTTTGAAAAATTTGATGAATAAATCATTTATATTTATATTTACAAAATTATCATATTTTGAAATGCATTTGTACATGCGATAAAAAAATATAGCATAATTCTACACGTAAAAATAGCATCTGTATAATTATATATTGGTTGAACATTAATTGTGTTTAATATGATGATATATATCGTTTAATTGATAATAATAAATTTCTATATTTAGTAATAAATTTATTAATCAGGGTGTAGTGAAAGAAATTCGAATGGACAATGAGTGGATAAACTTCTATGTAATTATATATTGATTAGACTTAATCATATTTAATATGATAATATATATCGTTTAATTGATAATAATAAATTTTTTATCTGATAATAAATTTTATTAGTTTAAATAAAAGAATATGTACTTTTATTATAAATTAATATATTAAAGACATTTGTAACACATTTGTACATGTAGTAAAAAAAAGATAGTTTTTGGTTTCATATAATTAATTCTATATGTAATTCATTTAAAAAATCACTCCTACATAAATTATTATATTAATTGAACAATTGTAATAATTTATTAGTATTATACATAAATTTTCAAATTTATGATTAAATAAAGATATATAAAACTCATTTATTAAATTATTTAACTGAGTCTTTTAAAAAAAAGTAAAAATAAAAAAATAATATATAATTGTATCTTTAAAATAAAAATAAAAATAAAAGTAAAAATATAATCCCCTAAATGAAAGGCTTTTTATTAAAATTTGGTTTGCTTTCATATAGTTCATATAGAATACCATAGTATTTTTTCTTTTCAGTAAATACTCTGGAAATAAAACTTCCTCATATGTCATTTTAAGATAAGATCTTTCCTGAGAAAGTTATTAACTTCATCACGAAGTTTTTCCATTACCTTTATAGTGATTTCTACCATTCAAGACCAATATTTATTTTTTAAAATTCAATTACCACAGTCATATATCTCATCATATTTCTAAAAGCACTCTTCTAGACAGATTATATATAAGAAATCAGTATCATTTTAATCTTAAATCCTTTATTTTTAACAAAGTTTGCGATAAGTTTGACATTTTTTCACTTAGATGAGATAACACTTTCAGTAAGTTCACGCAAGAAGAAAGAGGAGTCACTATTTCCAGCTGTACTATAAAATATATTCATATATACTTTAAAGGCATTTTATTTTGCATCTAAACAAGAAAAGTCAAAAGAGACTGATTCATATTCTGTCATAAATTCATACTTTTCTTTATTAATTAAATGGTATAAATTTTGCTAAGACAAACATATTTTTCTTCTCTACATTTGCTAAAACCTGCTCAATTACACCTGATAATGATAAACTTCTAGTACTTATTAAATCTATTACCAGTTCTATATCTTTCTTTTTATCTTTCAAAGGACTAAGATGTTTTTTCATCTCAACCTGTTTAACATATAAACATTCTGGCATATTGCATAGAGATCTTTCTATTTAGAAATGTTATTATACTAAATGGATCATGTGAAAATATCACAATTATTGAATTTAAACTAATTTTGTGAAGTTTTATTACTTTGTTTAGCTTCTTTTTGAGATAAATTTAATTTATTAGATAAGAGGTTATAAGTTATGATAAGGCTCAGATATAATGATACAAAATCTAAGGCCAGTTATAAAATATCTATTTTCAAGATCTTTCTTGGTGAAAAGATATACAGTTAAACCTTGATATAGCGAACCCTTGATATAGCGAATTTTTTAAATCAAATATATTAAATTATCTTACTATAGTGAATTAGCCAATTAAATTCTTTAAAAAATTTGTTATAAGCTTATAACAAAGTTAATATCCAGATCCTAAAATTTATTATATCAATGAGTTCACTGTATATTTCAGGAAATAATTCAGTTTCAGTAGTTTAAGTTTCCTTTTTTAAAATTGTACTAGTTAAAATTCCTTTTCTCAATCACTAGCATTTAAAAGATTACTCACTTTCATTTCTACTATAAAATAATAAGTATTGAATAATGATAGAAAAACTATGCTTGAAATCTTACTATATTCATTAATTATATTGTACTTGACCATTAACTTTTGATAGCTTAGAGTGTCAATAATACAATATTTAATCACTTTGCGAAGTTGTTTAGTCATTATGATATTTTTTTTTTAATATCCTTTTATAATATTCGTTTATGCAGTAAATAGGCAAATCTAATTTACTTTTGAACTCAGATTCATTTAAGTAAAATGCTAGGCTACTCTTTTCAGCTTTAGAATAAAATCCCATAAAATAGGAACAGATGTTAATAGCAATACATCCTGAAATTTTATATTGATATTGCTATTTTACAATTTTCTCAAAATCTGATGGTTTGATTGATATATAATATATATAATTGAACATCTATTCAAAAACTCCTAACTTCTTAGCTTTTTTCACAATAAACTGCCAATCATATTGAGAATTATTAAAGCTTATTTGTATATCTAAGGTTAAATTCTTCTAAAATAATGCAAATACTTTCAGTAAATTAATTTCATCTTCACATCTCTATCGTAAATCTAACGTATTTTCAATATCAATAAGACAGATTTGCTTTAACCATTTAGGATCATCTTTCCAATAATAGTCATACAAATTATGAACATAATGTTTTCTTTGTATTTTGCATTAGGCATCTCACCTATTTTTTCCATGTGAATATGAGAGTTTGATCCCTTATAAGTGCTGAAGAAATTAATAGATTGTTATACTTGTTATTACTTATTATACTGTAATTATTCACAGATACTTGAAAAAGATAAATGCTTTCTGACAGTATATAAATAATTACTTACGAATATCTAGCTTAAAAGAGGTAATCTTTCTTCATAAGCTACTTTACCTTTAAAGTATTATATCAATCAAAATGATTTTATATTCTTATACAAATATATAAATTCTTCTCTATATGATATTCTTAAAGTAGAAAATATTAATAGTTTCGATTTTGAACTTTGATGCATTTCTGAGAATATTAGATAATATCTTCACTAATTTGGTCTTAAATATAGATAGTGCTATCTTTTTAGATACTATGATATCAAAGAAAGGCCTAATATCTGTAATATTTATAATAGTTTTTACTTATTAATCAAAGTACTAGTAATACGCAAAATGTAAGTGAAGACTTATTTTACATATTTAACATTATCACTAACTTCAGTAAGCATAAAGTAAATGGATTGCTTATTAGATAAGTATTGCTAAAATATAGTAGTCATCCCATTATTATGTTCTACCTCAATATCATTATATAATAAATTTTAGCTAAAGATTCAATGCTGTTATAGCAGATGAGAGGGCTAAATCTAATGAAATTTTGGTCAAAAATAGTTGAGATATACATGTATTAGTTCGAAAAGTTTTATATATTTATATAAAAATTTGGAAATGTTTAATTAATTTTTTTCAATAAATATAAAAAAAGCAATAGTGATCTTAATAAGCAAATAGAAAAAGGAAGGCAACTGGATATATATCTAAAGTGTATACTTTTCTGTAATTATATTATATAAAATAGGAGCAGCATACACTTTTTAGATATATACTCAAGCATGGATACTTTATTAGTACAAATCTGATAAAATAAATTTAGAAACATTCCTACTAGTAATTGACAATAGTTGTCAATAGTTAAAAATTGCTATTGACAGCTAATAACATATTTCTTAAAGATTTTAAGGTATTCTATTGATTTTTTGATTAATATCAGTAGTATCAGTATCGTCAGTAGAAATATCAGATTCCTTACTTTTTTATTTTTTTATATAATATATATTATATATATATATATTTATACATATCATAGGAAAATTACAATTTTTTCCTATAGTATTTTTACTATTGACACTACTGATATTACTGATAGTAAATAAAAAGCAATAAAATACTTTATAAACTTCAGGAAAGATATTAGAAGCGTCAGTAATTAAAAAATTCTACTGATATTTAATGATAACTAATGATAACCTGCAATGAAAAGTACTAATACTGCATCTCAATTTCGCTAGTTAATTATGACTAGTACTATATCTAACAAAATCAAACTTGAATAAAAACTCATACATAAATTATTTGACACAATATAATTTACTGACTGTTTTGCAGTAAATTAATGATAATTTTGGGCAGCATTATTCTATAATTTCAGTCAGAATTTTAGACACAATAACTTAACATCTAAGCTAGCATAAAAATGACGAATTAATAAAACTATTCTGATTTCCTATCAGTTCCTTACCAGCTTTAATATATTGCCATGATACTCCATAACACCAGATTGGATTCTTAAATCACATGCTTTAAAATTAGCTGAAATTATGATATAAAGCTAGTCAAAATTAACCGAAATTAGATTATGAATTTACTATGTTACTTGATGGCTTTTTTTACACTATCTCAGTACCTCAAAGGGTCACCAAATAGGCACAAAAAGAAAGCATCCTCAACACCTTAACAGGTTATTAAAATAATTTAAAAGCAAGTAAACAAATGAATTACTTTTTAATAATAAAAGGACACAGAATAATGCAAACACATACATATCAAATTGGTAATAAAAAACCACAAAATAATGAATAGTTAGAAGGGAATAAAAAGAGGACAGAGCAATAAAAATATACAAATAGTTACAAGGTAATAAAAAGGTTACAGAATATTAAAACTATGAGGATAGTTCCTTAATAATAAAAGGGGTATAGAATATTAAAAACACACAAGTAGGTAGCAGTTTACTCATAAATAGGTAGCAGTCTTATAAGATTGCTACCTACTATTTTTAATATAATTATATTTAATAATATCTTATTGTTGATAAGGTTAAGTAAATTTTTGTTAAAATCTATATTTTTAATAAAGATTTAAAGTTATCCTATTTATAAGAAATTTGATAATATATAAGATATTGTAACTCAAATGATCTTTAGGAAATTGGAAATGTGACGCAGTAAAAGTGATCTGCAAATGATCATCATGTGAATTAATCTGCAAGAATCAATGATACAATAGTTGGCAAAAGGTGATCTGTGAAATTAACCAAATCATTTAATGAAGAAATGAAATAATGGATCATTAGCCCATAACGACACTCTTAACCTTCTAAACTAGAAACTCCAAATAGGAACTTCAAGGAGAAACTAGTCGAAAGGCTAAGTATAAGGATGTAACAATAGTTTAAGAATAATATAATTATATTCTCTACATCTCTTCACATATATATATATCATAGTTAAAGGACTATTGCATAGCGATTAGGTAGTCATTACTCAATTATTACAACAATATTACATCGAGAAAATGAGGGAATCATTACATAGTTTTTATGCAATAGATAGCAATTTAGTGTAGAAATTTTATTATAAATAAGCTGAGTTTTTCATCATGTATCGATAGAAATTTAGAAAGCCAATTTTATAAGATAATAAAAACTTTTTGCTAAATTGTCTCTTAATAAATTGCTTTATATCAACCCTTGGTTAAGTAATAATTAAATTACTTAACGTTATCAATTGCTTTGTGTCAACCTTGGTTAAGTAATACTGGATTACTTAATATTATCAACTTGCTTTGTGAAAACCTTGATTAAGTAATTGTAAATTGTTTAACGTCATCAACTCTGCTTAGTGTCAATCTTGATTTAAGTGAAATTCTAAATTACTTAAATGTCATCAACCGTGTTAAAGTCATCAACGAGTTAAAGTATTCGATATTGTAAATCTTTAAGCTGTACGTCATTACTTAGTTATAGTAATTTATTATAACGTCATTAAGGTAATTTCTTAACTTCTTAAGAAATTACGAGTCACCTGAAGTGAATTGGAAGTCATCATACTTGCCAATTCTAAACTTAACTGTGAACAAATACTGAAGTTAACAATAGCCCGAATCAACAAAAGTCTCTCCTAAAACTTAATAAAGATTGAGCTAAATCTTGCTGCTACTCAATTGATTACGTGTTTCAGTTCGCCTAATCATTAGTTGGATAACAATATATACAAATTTTTCACTAAAGATAGGAGATTATGTATTTGTTTGATATAATTTACAGATGTACGTTAGACAAGTTGAAGCTTTATATTTTGAGGCATACAATCACCATTGTTATTCTCATGAAGCTATTAAAGACTAACAATATTTCATATATTTTATTACATGTTATTATTGGGAATAATTCTCTTTCTATTACATGTGTTCTACTAAGTTACTTTACTGTGACAAGTAAATTCCTTATTATCAGACTTTACAACCTTATGTTCTACAGGTATCTGAAATGCTTTAAAATTACTTCACTTAACTTTACGAACTTAAAGGTTTAAGGACTTAAGAAAAAACTTAAAGAATTTGTTTATTCTAAGTGACGAACTCAAAAGCAAGTTAGTATAATATTTCATGATCAAATCCTAGATGATAAACACATAGAGAGAAAAGTAATTATTTTTTAAAGTTGATTCCTTTATTTATTACTTGAAACTCACAAGTATTTAAGAACTTACAAAAGAGTTAAAACTCGCAAATAAATTAATTTACAACTGGAGAAAAAAGCTATTCTATTTATACAAAATTAATTTGCTATAGCTAACTAGTTGCTACGTTATAAACTAATTATATTTATAATTACAAATGCTAATATAATGATAATACTAATAATAACAGATATAATAAATATAATAATAATAATAAAAATAATTAAAATAATAGAAATAAGCGTTATAACAATTATTCAGCTTATAAGGAATATCAGATGAATTCTAAGAATCCTAAGAATCCTATGGATCCAGATCTTCTAATTTGTGATCGACATAAAATTAATTCCAGTAACTCCTGTAGATCATTTGATAATTCTTTGTAGATCAACTTTTCAATAGTGAATATTTAGCTGGTAACAATGTATTTATGCCTTTACATTTGAAATTATTTACTAATAAGATTAAGGAAGGTTGTTATATCCTTACACATCAAATTCCTTCAAATATTATATATCATATTAAACAGGATGAGATAGTAATTGAGAGAAATTTTCTAAAATTAGTTGGCAATGAAAAGCGATACTATTTTAATTATTTTGGACGAGAAGATATTATTGAAAAAATGGTAAAATAAATTTTTATTTTAGTGATTTACTAAATAATTCTATTGATTTTGTAAATAATAAATCATTATAATAAATCATGTAATATTAAAGTTAGAAATTTGATTTGCATATTTTGTCAATTTTTAAATGTCAAGTGCTAAGAATGCATACCACTCTCATAAAGAACCCTTATATATAGCTAATAGTAAAATTTTTGATTATCACCTTACCCCTATATATATATTTCTAGGTTTTAAAATAGTACTTGTGAATGATCCAGATCACTTTGAGTGAATTAGGAGCTTGCACATAAGGCAAAAAATTTTCATTGTTAGATGTGAAACCGTCTGTTTGTCCCCATACATTATTTGTTAAATTCAAATCTTCTCATACACCTTCACTAAAAATATCATTTTGCCTAAAAAACTGATATCTATCAAATGGTATATTTGCACTGAAGTCTTTACACCAAAAGGATTAAATCACTGTTGATTATTATTCAAAAACAATTGTGCTATATTGGGCGAATTTAAAGCATTTCAAGATCTTTGGAATAGATCATTAACTAAACATGATGAATTATTAGGCATAGAATTAGTTAAAGAAGGTTTTGAATCAGATATTAGCATAAAAAAAGACCTTTTATTTTCACCTGTCTTTCGTATCAAACATCTAAAGGTTTAAATATAGTATATCTTCAACCTTTTTAACTAAAAGGCTATAAACAAAAATCCACCCTTATCACATTCATTCACTTCCTGACTATTAAATAACCCTAAATGATTTTATAAAAATGAACATTACTGTGTAAACCATCTTAAACAACAGCTAAAAATAGCTTAAATATTACCAAATGAATCACGATACAATAATTTATATTGCTCAAGCGTTACATTTCTTGATTCAGCATTTATTTCTATTCCAGAAAATGTCTTGCGATCCTAGAATTGCTTTAAACAAAAACATTACCAATGCTAATATTTGAATATGAGGAAGTAGCTTTACTAATTTTACTTGTTGGAGAAAATGATGTCCTAAAATTGAATAAGTGTACGCTTCCTTCAAACATCATCATCTTTGATTTAGGTCAAAACGATAAGTAAAAATAGTGGTTGATAATGTTATAGAATTTGCTGTTGACGATATTAATACTAATGCTGATGCTACTACAGTAATTCTTGTAAATTTTTGTTGTTGTTATTTCTACAATAATAACTGTTGTTGGGGCTGTTGTTGTTATTGCTGATACTGTTGTAATTGTAACTGCAACAGTTCAATTTCTTGTTTATATGGTTCCTTATCCATATAGATAAAGCTGCAATTGTTTCAATAATAAATTATGTTCTAATGTTAATTGTTCATTTTCTCTCTAATTCAAGTCCAAGATCATTACCATGTTAAAGTTTTTACTCAATGTCTTTTTCGTTATCTTTAGATCTTACTGCCATGTCTTCTTGTCTTTGTTGCGAACATTAAAACAATTACTGTTTTTTTGGGGAGATTCTGTTGTAATGTTGTAACTTGATTTAGATGACTTTGCCTCACAAACTTGACATTCTTGTTGTGTTTCCTGCTTAAGATCAAGTTGCATCAAAATAATTTCTTGCAAATCTTCTGTAAACTCTTCTCTCATAGAATCTTCAATGTTTAGACGTATTGGGACGACTTATTGTAGGCATTGAATCCGATCAGTCGGTTGGATTTTTATTTTCAAGCTGCATTGGGAATACCATTGACAAATTATTGAATATCAGGATATGTGACTTGCTACCGAAGTTTAACAAAATGCCTTGCCTTTTATTTGTACCATACTTCTTGTTAATAATTTCTTCTTTCTTTTATCCATTCAACAAAAGCAGTTTCTAAAGCAGGTTTATTGTGGAGGAGAATCTTTATTTTAAAATATCCGGTCTCAAAAATTTATAAAAACGATGAATTTTAAACCTAAGAGAAAATATATATAAGATATTTTTATAAAAAGTTCAACTACCTATGAATTTTATTTGTATTTGTTATAGATAGATGGATGACATAAACTCTAAAGAATCTTAATTCAAGCCGTCAGAAAGCTAATAGCGAATGATTTGGCACGCCCAGCATTAAAATGTTATAAAAAAAAAAGCGGCTACCAATGACTTGATATTAGGTGTTGGTGTATGCGATGAAGGGATTTTCGGTAAAAAATTAAAAAATTTCAACAAAATTTTATTTTAAAAAAATATCTATATTACAAATTTAGAAAAATTAATAAATTCTAAGTGTTAAAACAACCATCATAACAACTACAGTATTACCACCACCTCCACCACCAGGACAACAACCACCAAGACCACTCTAAAATTATATTACAAATGTAAGGGAGCACGGTAGAAATCATCAGCTACTGCAAGAATTTCTTTCAAATTTTGTTGTGAAACGGATATCCAATTATTGTCGTCCATAGACGCAAAGAGAAAAGAGAAAATAAATTCGGATAAGTTGAGATTTCCAACAGGTTACTTAGGCCTATTTCACCAGAATATAAAGGAGACAAGCGTTATCCTTTTAATTTTCATCTAGAACCAAAATTTAATTTGGTTCTCCTTTCCTGGTTCCCCAATTTCGTTTTGAAAAGTATAAAAGCCATAAGTTGGAAAAGGTTCTTAGAGATAAGTAAGGTTTGAGTTTGGATAATTATTATAATAGAATTGAACATTTTTTTAAGTTTGTTTTAAATTGTAGTTATTTGAAAATAAAAAAAAAACCCACAATATAATGAATGTTGTTCAAACTTGGCACGAAGGTCTATTTATAATTAACCTGCAAAATCAGATAAGAAATTGTGCGAACAACTGATCTTATCTTTAATCTATTTTGTAATTTATTGATTTTACGCCAAACCATCACAAAATTCATACTTTTCACACTATTCTTCGAAATAAAACTTCTCAAAGAAAATAAAATAAAATAAAAAACAAATGACCGTTTCGAAAACCCTACTAAAACTTCAAAAAAGGTTACCAACTCACCTCGTAAGCAACAAATGCCTAACTCAACACCAAAACCAGCTGTTGAAGTAGTTGTAGCCTCGTCAAGAGAAGCCAACACTGAAAAAAAAAATAAAGGAAAAATATATAAGAGTACCAATAGAACACGTCTTGTTGAGATCCTTGACTCTTTAAAAAAAAAGATGTAGGTTATTGGTTCTGAAACGGAAAGGCTTGTTTCCAGGTAATTTTTTTTTTTTATTTATAAATGGTTTCAAACACGTATTACAAGCGTGTAATCTCATATCTCATGTGCCTTACTTTCATAGAGAAATTACCTACGTACCAGCATTATATAAAATAATGGATGAAATTTTTGTAAATGTTGCTGACAATAAGGTATGCATATTGGAAACGCTCTGTTAGTTACTTTTGTTGTTAAGTTTTGTGTTGATTATTTAAAATTTTTCGTTAATCTTCAGGTTCGAGACCAAGAAATTAATGTTATTAAAGTTGATATTGACAAAGAAGGAGGCCAATTTTCCGTCTTTAATAACGGAAAAGGGATCTATTGAAATTCACGATGAAATGTCTACATACCTCAACTTATCTTATCGCAACTTTTTCATCTTCACTTTTAATGATGACTTAAAGAAAGTTTCCGGGGTCGTAATGGTTTCGGTGCCAAATTAACAAACATATTCAGTACGGTGTTCATTTTGGAAACAACTTCAAATGGCAAAATATATCGCCAAACTTTTAGGAACAACATGAATGAAATCGAACATCTAATTATCACCGATCATTCTAAAGGCGATCACACTCTGGTTAAATTTAGACCTGATTTTCAAAAATTCCAAATGAGTCGGTTTGATGATGACATAATTGTCCTCATAAATAACGTGTATACGTTGGCTGGGAATGTTGAGGATTCTTGAATGATGAACAGATAGACATCAATTATTTTAAAGAATACATACAATCGTATGTGATTGATCGCGAAGACTTATAATCTTCATTAATATATGATAAATGTGGTGAACGATGGGAAATTGGAGTACTTCCTTCTCCTGATTCAATTCCATCATGTAAGTGTTTTCTTCTTCTTTTTTTAATACTTGATTTTGCATGAAATTTTTTTAACATTATTAGTGTACTTTTCATTCGAAAATTATAGACAAGCTTCGTTAACAAAATATGTACTATAAAAGGAGGTACCACGGTAACTAAAACTTGCTGTAAAAATCATGACATCGGCCAAAATCAAGAAGGAGGATGCAAACATTAAAAAGAATCAAATCATATGTGGATATTCATCAACTGTTTGATTGAAAACCCATTCTTCGATTCC